CTGTCCACTGTTGCGATCCTACTTTATCGGTTCTTGTCATGTTGGTGTCTCGAAACGTTTTTCACGTAGTATCAGCCTTGCAGTCTATTGTTTGTCTTGATAATAGGCCATTTTCGAGTTGCCTGTTGCCTCTGTTTCAAAACGAGTCTACGTGCAAGAACCTTTGATATGAAAATGAGTTTGATTTGTATAAAAATGAACCTGTAGGCGGAACTCGTTTCCATGTGAATGGTTTCGCGCGAAGACTCGTTTTGAAACAGAGGTAAAAGGCAACTCGAAAATGGCCTATTTACTCGACTGCAAGAGGACTACAAAAGTTTGTTTTCAGCTTTTCAGTATTAACAAATTGAATAGTAATTTTTCCCCGCTTTAGTTTCTTGTATGGTTATCTACCTTCCCCTGTTTCTTAGTTTAAAGACTAGGAAAGGTCGAGCCAATAAAAAACGAAGCTTGCTTGGAGGGGAGTTGACAGAGAAGAGTTTACCTGTTCTTTGGCCTTCGTTTTAAAAGTTTTTCACAGCTAGCGTTTGCATCTATTATATATGAGGAAAACTGGCTTTGAAATTGACTATTTTTTTTTGGAAAAAGCGCAGTTTAAGTGTTAAATGTTATTATTATTATATGGCTTTATAGACTTGTTGAGTTGAGACGGTACATAAAGGCAGTTTATTTCAGAGTACCATCGCTGTAAAATCTTGAATTAAAAAGTTTTTTTTTCTGTAGGATGGTGGTCGCCGGGCACAATATGACAAGAGGGATTTTCGCTGACAGCGCAAATGTGTTTCGTTATGACGCCGCTAATGGACTTAATCAAGAACAGGTACACTTTCTTATCCCCACAGCATGAGGATTTTCCACTTGGGATAACCCATCTCAAATTCGCGTTTCTTTAAAAGTAACCTTTTCGGTATCCAGAGACTGGTTGGGGGTAGAAGGCTGTTAGATCTGGAATGGGGCATAGCCCCTTTAGGAGGGGGACATTTGTGAAGTCTGGTCTTGTTTATTTAAGTCACGAACTCACTGATGTTGTCGACATTTGTTGCAGGCTAAGGATGTGAGCGATCATTGGCCTATTGAAATAAAATGAAAGAGTCTAGTAAGTATCGTAACTTAGATTAACATAATGCATTTACAAAAAAACCCCATAATTTACCATTCCAGGCAAAGGTCCTTGTTAAATCAGTTCGTCTTTCTTTAACCAAATTCTCTGCATGTATGAAACCCAGTCAGGTTTTGTAAGGCTTATAGAACGCTTTTCCATTGCGCATCGTAAAAGCAAATTAAACCATAGTTAGTATTTGGCCATTCACAGAGAACGCACAAAAAGCCAATAAGGACTGGAAGCCAACAAAACTGGCGGGAAAATGCGGGTGAACGAGTTGCGTGTGTTTTTAATTTTACATCTGATTGGTTGACGGCGCCAGGGTTTTAAAACAATCACAAAGCGTAGTAGGACGGGTTTCATTTGAGTATCTTAAAACAAGAATAATCCTCTAACGGTTGGTCAGGTCACAATAGGTGGGAAACAAAGAGACAGGACTTAGGAGGCGTGGCTTGAACTATTTTTTGTTTGTTTGTTGACTAAGAAAAATAAGAGGACGGAGCGGTTCTGGATGAAAAATGGAAACGGAGTGGTGATTGCTGAGATGGTTAATTTATTTATTAATGATTGTTTTTTCTTTAAGCTCATAAATATGAAGAAAAGTTCTTTCAAGAGACGATCACAATCACCATCAAGGATGAACGCATTCAGCCGGTGTCCAAATATAAAATTTTCTCAGTGCGCTCTGCTAGGAAAAACCCTTTTCTGTCAAACGGTTTCTCGTTGAAGACTACCTATACAGAAACTGGCAAAATTGACGAAATAATCCTTGGAAAAGTAACCAGTTCAACTGAAGTGGCAGTTGGTGCCATTGAGAGTTTTCGCAGGTATTATCCAACATTAGTTTCAGCATCTCAGGTGGCTGTGAGCAGAAGAAAAATCTTCAAGATAGCACATTCTCAACCCGGCAGTTGTGTTGCGCAAGAATGCGCGGAGACTGCGTACCAGATGCTTTCCGATAGTTGTAATGATCTTAAGGCTCCAATGATTAGCGGAGTTCAGCTCGTCTGTAGCGCATCACTCTGCTCGTGTAAAATAAATATAATAGCGACTTAACAACAGAGTCTTCTTCTAAGAAGTGATTTCCATTGTCAAGTAATTTTTCGTGTACGCGCACACACTCAAGACTGAGACTCGTGACGCAATCTTTCCTCCCTACAAAGGAGGACACGGTAGGGTCAGTAGCCTGTTTCACAACCGCCTTCCCTGAAATGATTTTGTTCTCTCGGGGAGGGCGGCTGTAACACAAGCTAGAGGAAAGAAGTATTACGGGTTGCGAGGTTAACACGCACGTGAATTTTTAAGTTCGAGCTGAATGGGTTACATTAATGTATAGATAACGCCTAAAACTCGGCGTGTGTCCAATAAAGGAAAGTCTTCCACGGTATCCTACTACTCCGTCTATTTATGTTTTACTTTTCTATTTTATGTCCATGCATAAACCGCTTCAGTTCACTTCATATCTGAACAGGCCTGATAACTGAACGCACGAAGAATGCGGAATGTTGGGTGGGAGTGAGTTTCAGCGGCGGAGTAACCGACACGAACGAAGCCAAACTCGCGCGCAAAATCTCGACAGCTGCGCTGCAAAAAGATGCAAATAATTGGCGAAAGAAATTACTCTGCCAAACAGTTAGAGAGGATTAGGTTTTTAGCGATTAAAAAAAAATGGTGCGGTGTCTGGGGGAACAAATGAATTAACTGGTCCCGGTTCAGTTTCTGTACCCGACGTTTTCGGCGTCGGCCTGTGCCTCTTGATCACCTTGAGATGGATGCTTTTATATATGGCCATATTCTTGAAATAGATTACTAGGCCATATTCGTATTCTCGGTATTGGACTGGAACTAGCTTGCAAATGAGGCTAATGCGGGGAGTCTTTTCAAATGCAAATCACATTAATCTCTTTTTAATGATATTCCCCGCATGAGCCTCCATTGCAAGCTAGTTCCAGTCCAATACCGAGAATACGAATATGGCCTATTATTGCAAGACTAATGCAGTGAGTTCATTCGAAATACACTAGATATTTTAGGGCTCTGAGTGTCTCATACCCCTTTAATTTGTGCCCCAGTTGAATATCCCGAATCTCGTTAATTCCGATTTCAAAAATTAACAATTTTCCTGCTCTTCGTCCCGGGGTATCTGGTCTTAATATCCCATATCCCATTTAGTTTTCCCAAAAATATCCTATCCCGTATCCCGAAACCCGTTACAGAGCCACAAAAATCCCGAAACGCTCTATGAGGACGCGTTTGTGCTTCCTTGCGACGTTCGTTGAGCGCGACTGTTTACAACCACCCAACCGATCATACGTCAGGTACATCCAGTGGAACCCCGTTAATACGACCACCTTCGGGCCACGGAAAATTGGTCGTATTAACGGGGTGGTCGTATCAAAGGGGTTCTTTAAATAGGACTGAGCTTTTTTTCGGGCCAGAATAAAGTGGCCGTAATAACGAGGTGGTCGTATTAACGGGGTGGTCGTGAGGCGGGGTTTCACTGTACTATTCTCCTCCTGTCTAGCTACTACATGTGTAGTGATTCGAAGGCGAAGCGTGATTGAAAAGGAGCGACTTCAAGCCGTCCAAGCAACCTGACAACCAATCAATTATGCGTTCAGCATAGAATTCATCGCGATTTTAAGACGTCTCTGGCTTCATAGTTCCGGTCAGGTTGAATAGGCCTTTTCCGAGTTGCCCTTCGCCTCTGTTTCAAAACGAGTCCTCGCGCAAAACTTTTCTTCCGAAAACGAGTTTGTTTGGCATGATAATGAACTTCCAGACGAAACGCATTTTCATGTAAATAGTTTTGCACGAAGACACGTTTCGTCACAGAGGCAAAGGGCAGCTCAGAAGTGGCCTATTCAGAAGGTGAAGCGAGAACTTCGTTTACTTGTGCTTGCGTTACTTTATACTGCGAACTAGTTCCCAGGCCTGGGCATTTCGCCACCTTCAATCCGTTTCGGGTTACAATGTCCCGGGAGCGTGCGGTCCGCTTCCCAAATCCCTTACCCTATTTAAGACGAAAATCTGTCATTTATGACCCGACCAAAAATTCGATACCCTATTTTATGACCATACCCTGTTTCAGACCTGCCTTACAATTACTACCAATGTTAAATTGCAGGTAAAGATAATTTGTGAAGGGTTTTTGTTGGTCTCATCGATATCGATGAAAAAGTAGCTTCTTCTATGAAACATACCCAATTCAAGACTAGAGTGTAATTATGACCAAAATGGCCAAAATCGATACCCTACTTATGACCAAAGCGGCTGAAAAACCATACCTATATAACCCATATAAGGGAGTACCTCCCGGGCACAATGTCCAAGACCTTTTCCCGGCCGTTTGTTTCGGTTGCTAGGAATCGCCAAGATACGACACAAAGCCATAGCACTCCGACACCCTGTCTGATTGAGAATAGTAATGGAGAAAAGCTTCAAAAGCCCATTAAGTCTTTTTAACACAAGCGTTGGTACGTAGAAGTTTCAAGTTTAATAGCTAAACCTCTAGCTTATTCTCAAACATGATATGGCTCAATCTAATCTCGTACCCAGGCTCCTTTCTCCATGGGCAAGAAAGAGCTCTGGGCGAGGTTTGTTTAATTCTTACGCTCTGTGCGAGCTATAGGTAAAACTATTTACAGATAAATGCGTTAAATGTGTATGAAAGAACATCAAGTTCGTATTGTAAGATATGACAACATTGTGGTAATAGTAAAAATACTTAAAACTATTTACAGATTAAAAGAGGTCGTTCTCATGTCTGTACACTTGATTATGGAGTACATTGCTGGAAAAAAGGAAAGAGCACACCCTTTCCTGGTCACATTAATTAATGTTGTATTACAGACCTACTTGAGAATAATGTCTTGAATAGATACAGTTGAAATTTTTTTCTTGATTATGGACAATATATTACGAATATACAGAGGAAGATAATCTGTTAGGCGACGGTATTCATTCTCTCACTACCGTTCAGTACTGGGAGAAACTGTTAGAGATAAACTGTTCTGGCTTAATTAGTGCAGCAATTTCTGCTTTTAAATAGTAGCAAATCAGATTATTTGAGTGGAAAGAACATGAATGCCTTCAACCCTCAAAACGACAGCAGATATCACAGCAACAGGTCAATGTCTAAACTACAGTGTCAGGATACGACATGAATTCCAGATTGTCCATTTCATTCCCTCATTCCCAAGAGTGTTCAAGGTTAAAAATAATTACTTTTTTTCCGCAAAATATTAAAAATAAAAAAAAGGAAAAACAAACAGTACCTATGAAAGTACTGCTCAATAGCTTTCATTTATGGTCACATAGTGGGGATACATACCTACAATGTAACATACACCCCCATGCCATTTTACTCAGGGATACACCTGGTAAATGAAAGCTGTTCTGCCCCTTGGCTCTTTGAATACTACATGCACTTCACTGAGAGTACCATCCATATCACCGAGTATAGATCATTAGGATCATCTACGTTTAAAGTGATAAATATAACACTTGGGGTAAATAAAATAAATGTATCTACATATGGTAAGTAAATAACAATGGTAAAAGTACAGTACAACAGTAATAAGTACCTGTTTTAACTGAGAAGGTGATTTTGAAACCTAAACCATACACCATGTTTATAGCACAGAGTGCTTGGATATGTGGAAGTTTTTAATTTCTGCACTTGACTCCCATCAATTTCACTTCGCATTTGCATTGCAAAAGAAACTGTGCCAAGACAGCTTCATGCAAAACAACTGCGAAACTGATCAGGATGAACATAAATTTGAACTTTTATAAAAGTTGTTACCAGGACACATTCACTGATCAGTGAAAGACACACAGTGCCCTTTCCTTGGATAAAAAACGTAGAAGCATATTGCCTTGTCTTGTGTCCATTTGCTGCTTCATACACAAATTTCGCTTGACAATCTGCATGACCTTGAGCTCCCGACTGTGCGGCAATCATGTCAGATTGTCCGGTCACTACACAAGCTTTGGATTGCAATATTCACTTGTGTTTATATTGTAGACTCTTTTGAGGATGGAGAAATGTTGGTGTTGTTTACCACTGTCGTCACAATAGGAGAATGTTCTGATCCACAATTTGAAAGTGAGTGGAACTGATCAACTCGCTCTGCAACACACTGTGCAGTCAACCTTGCCTCTGCATCTTGATCCCAACACTCCTCAATTGTTTGAACCAAACCGGCCATACCCTGTGTAATAAATACAGAGTGATAAACATACATCAGAGCTTAAAAAAAAAACAGGTCTGATTGGTGGGGTGAGAAAATTTTGAACTTACTCCAAAATTAAGACTGCAACATTAGCAAAACAGTGAGTTGAAATCATGGATTAGTTAAAAATCCAAGCATACTTTGTTCATATTCCTTCTCTAATCACAATATTTATTAAAGTGGAGGCAAGCGAAAACTGAAATTTACTGACCCACGGGGATTTCAAAATTTTTTCCTGCCCTGTACACATGCACTAACGTACATTGTGTACCTCTGTATTTAGCTTTCTTTTGTTCATTTATTGAACTGTTACACACTAGGGTTTTGTCCACTGCCACATGTAATGTAAAGTAACCTCCACCTTATACAGCATAATGACCAGAAAACCAAATGAAAAATGACTTGAATGACTTTCATTTGAATAAATGGCGACCTACTACAATAAGTAGAAAAGAACAGCTTGGCAACTTTTATTTCAGTCACACACTAAGGTTTCATCCAAACCATTCAAAGAAAAATTCACCCTGTACAGCATGAAAACAACATCACATGAAACACCATGCATGTACAACTAAATACCTTTCAATTGAATCGTCACTTAAGACAGATCAGAGTAACGGTAGACATTTAGCAAATTCCGACTAATTTACTATCTTCATAGTGTAGCTACAGAGTTTAGCTAAGGACTACGAAGAACAAATCCAGCCAGTGGTAGAGGATGGGAGTGTAGACCAGTTCATAATTTACAAAGCATATTACTACCAAGTTGAACTCAGGACTACCAAGAACAAATCCAGCCAGTGACAGAAGGAGGGGACTGTGGTGGAATACCAGGCTAACAGAGCCAATGCCACAATTACCGGCCTCTTTCCTCTCTATAGCACCAAGAGGTTACGAATAATGAGTTTATGTAATAGTATATCTTACCGTGTGTACAAACCAGTCTGGTCTAAACTTTGGCCTGATCTTTTTGTGTACTACAGCCTGTTGCATGTCCTCTAACGATGGATGAGATCCTACTTCTTCTTCAAATGGCAACCTGTATTCATCCACTGGGCCTGAGGAAAGAAAGGTTGTATGTTGTCTTCATTTTGATGCTTGATTCACAGCTTACAGTGAGAATTGCCAGTCTAGGCCAATGAAGGTTATTCATATTGCAAATGCTCACCCAATTAGCCTCTCTACCACTTAATCTATCACCATTAACAGCTTCACTCCCCCCCCCCCAACCCCGTCAGTGCCAACTTACACACATGATACGCATGTTGTACTTTCATTTAAGATTACATGTATATTCTTAACCTCATTGAACAACTTCCAACTTCCAACTTCCAACTTCCAACTTCCAACTTCCAATTTCACGTCAAACAGTTTTAATAGTACTTTCTTGGTTTCAGGGAGTAGGGGAACAACCAAAGAGTTATACATGTATGTGTCTTAGTCGAGAGTAAAAACAAAAAAAAAGAAAAAAAAAAGAGCAAAACGAAACAAACAAAACCCAAAAGCCCAACATCATGACTCCTGAGCCAGTACTAAGACCTTAATTGTCTGATGTACACACTACATGATTGGATCCACACTGATTTCCACCGTTTTACAGAAATCAGCCAGATTTTCAGAATTACAGTATACCCAGAAACCCCAAAAGGGTACTTGAAGGAAAAAAAAATCCAGAACATTTCCTAGGAGAGCATGGCCCTGGACCCCCCTAGAAGGCACTCGTTGTTTCGGAAATCAGTCACCATTTATCCTAGATCCACGCCTGCACTAACACACTCCTTGTCCAATACACTAACTACATGTATTAGCCCACTGGATATGTCTCCCACAGTTATACCGTCATGTACATAATCTGCAGTTTTGGACAAACTCACCATCAGCAGCAGAACATCTTGAGGCCAATTCCCAGAGAACAAGGGCAAATGCATATACATCAATGTGCAGAAATGATTCTCGTGTGAAGCTGATGGCTCCTTCAAGCACTTCAGGCGCCATGTAACGTCTTGTACCCACCTAAAGGCAAACAACACTTCTGATTAATTTCTTACCAAATTTGCTCTATTCAGATTCATTAATAAGGTCCTATAGCAATATATTTTTTTCAACTGTTTCTGACACCATCTTTCTTGGGGGAGGAGGGGGGTGGGGGGCAAACACGGCAATTACAGTTTTTGTAATGAAAAAGTCACAAGTTTGATGCCCAATGAGAGTGATAATACTCAGCTCCAAAGAATTTGGTCATTTCACGTTTTTAATTGCCAAGAACACCTTTAAATGTACCACAATGCATCAAATGCTTATAGAGAGACACTGAACTGTCCACTAAAATTTTCGCATACCAGAAAATGTTCTTGATTCAATTTGTTCAAGCTCTCTTACAAATTACCGGTATTTCAAGTTGTTATTGTGTGATTAACCTGGCATACATGTCACATTTAGTGCATGTAGAAAATGTTCTAAGCCATTTCAAGCTGTGGACACAAGTGTGGAGTACCAGCTGGTACTTTGCTTGTTAGTAGAAATCAAAGGACTTTGCTTTCCTGATGATGTATCTGCTGCTCTTTCAGAACTATATTGTCCTGAATTCAAATTTTTGCATAATGGTGCTGCTGATAATACTGTAGGTTCGCAGTATCTAAATTACTAAGTTTAGATCAGTCACATTTATGCAAAGAATTTAACAAGAACTGATACATGTATTTACATTAATATAGATTGTTGCTGGCAGATTACCCATCTTTATAGTGAAGTTTTCATTCACACCACAAAACATGACGTGAACTACAGACTAATTTTATAAAAATCATTGATAGTGCTAAACATTTTTGTTACTAAAATCTTTAGTGATTTACATGTAGATTCCACAGAACCTATTATGTGCAGTGAACAATGATTTGGTTTCCAAAATGTTGTCAATATTATTTTGACTTCAAAACTCATAGTTACCATTAATTTATAATGTAGCTTGAAACTATTTTTCAAAAGTTATCACTTTACAAAGCCAGAACAACATGTAGATTTTCTCTTCAATGAATCAATAATCTGGAAATCTTGTTTTTAGTTCATCAGAGAATTGCCATTTGTGGATGTACAACATTTCAGACCTAATGCCAGTGGTTTTACAGTTCTTTCAATAACATTGGAATAACAATTTCAAAACGATATTAGCAAGCATTCCAACTGATCTATCCTGCCAGAATGGCACGCACCTGTGAATATTGATTAAAAACTGTTTGTTGTGTTCTTTTTAATCTCATGGGACGCAATCACTTTAAAATTACATTTGTAAAATTCCTTACACTCCGACCTATGTGCAGAGTATGTGCAAAATGTCTTCACTGCAATAGAAACAAAACAAAACATGCTACACAAACAGGAGATATTGGTGTAAACTAAAAGAATTTACTCTAATTGTCAGATAATATTAATATGTGCACACCTGTGAATGCTGTAATGTTTGGAAATTTTTTGTTTGGAAAATTAGGTAACAGCTTTAATCGCTTTCCCATTTCTTATAAGGCAGACATGCCCCCTATTTGAGGCAATTTTGTTTTTATTTGATTACCAAAATAAACATGTGGGTATATTGAAATGTCTAAGAACCTTCTTGAAATTTGTCAGTCTGTCAACTACTGCCATTAAAGCATAATTACATGTAATATGGTTGTCTCCTTGACAATTTATTGCCAGCCTGTGAGAATGTCTCTCGAAGACACCTTTGGTGTTGGAATATAAGTATGTAATTAGAAGACACATTTACTTACATGATCTAAAAAATGTGGTGTTTGAATGACTATGACCTTGAATGAGTGGCACCCTCCACTGAAGGTGGTACATGCAGTATTAAGCAGAAGTCAAACAGTACAAACTGCTAAAGTGTCTACAACATCTCTCAGCCATAAAGTCTCACTAGCAATTGATGATTTTCCTTAAAAAGACAGTTGTAGCCCTACTTCAAATTTTGCAAAATTCTTAAATTTGACTCAAAATCTAATGAAAATTTTGAAATCCTAATACAATTTTGCATAATCGCCACTCTGAATAAGTAAACACATGTACGCGTTGTGGCAGAAAAGTGAATTTAATAAAAAAAGATCACCAGTTGACAATGTTAGACGAATGTGATTAAAATATGGCCACACTGTCTGAAAGATGCAAATTCAGTGATGACGTGACAGGCCTTGCTCAAGCGTTGAGACAACAATACCATGCAACTAGCCAAAGAAGTGCTAGACACTGATATCTATTCCTACAGTACAATATGCCAAAAGCCCGGAATGATGTATCATACAAATGGATCACTTCAGATAATGAACTAAGATATCTTTTGACTTTTTATAACCGAGGGTTCAAATGATCCTTGATATCCTGGTAAGGGCTTTAAGGTGGTTTGCACCTTTTGTTACCTTCCATCTTTACTGACACATGTCACAATGTCATGCTACCTAATGCGTTACTGAAAACGTGCAAGCAATTTTCCTCATGTTAAGGTCTGGTGTCACAAATACAACGATGTTCGGTTATCTCTAAGCGGTGCTGCACACCATGTGCCAAAAGCACACAAAGAAATAGATACAACTAAAGATTGCCATACCAGTGACCCTGTCTTCTTTTCATAGATCACTTCCTTTATTGATTCTCTCCATTTTAACAACATTTTTTCCTCTCACATGCAATCCAACTGTAGGTAACATTTCTGAGTCACTCGTTTGGCTTACAATGACCCTTCTGTAGAAAGTTAAATCTGAGTGAAATAATGATGTAAGCTGGAAAATATTGCTGCTACCATTGTGCATAGGCCCATTCTTGTTGAATTAAGCACATACAACCTTACATGTATATAGAGAAGTCCATTCTGATTAGCTGATCCATGCTAGCATTAGGAACAAGAATTTTCCTATTATAATCATGCTGAATTGGTTGGGTCAATCAGATTTCCCATGCCAATTTCCTCTACAAGATGCACCTGCAGGGAATCATGGTAGTTGTATTTGTCATCTTGGACTGGAGATTTGTTTTGATGAATACAACTACAGATTCCCTTCAGGCCATCTCATACAGGGAACAGGCCATTATGAAATCTCAATTAATTCCCAACACTACCCAATTATATAATGGCAAAGCTCTTAAGATGTTAAGAAGTTACAGTGTATACTGCACCTGGCCATGTGTCTCTCCAGGATCCCCGCCTGATTGAAATGTCATCGCTAGGCCAAAGTCAGACAAGCAACAGCTAAGGTCTTTCTTGACAAGGATGTTTTTACTTTTGAAATCCCTGTGTGCTACGACTGGTTTAAAGAAAGCCCCAGGTATTTCAGTGTGCAGGTATGAAAGACCACTGGCCATGCTTCCAGCCATATCACACAGCTGTGGCCAGTTTAGTACGTGGCTCTTCAGGTAATCGGCCAGCGAACCATTCTCTTGGTACTCTGTTATCAACCACAGTTCAGAATACAAACCATCAGTGTGTTTCTCTACTCCGACAAATTTAAGAATGTTTTCGTGCTTCATGTTGCAAGATGTGTAGATGTCCTTCTCACAGACCCAAGCTGATTTGTGGGAAATAGGAAAAACTTTAACTGCAACTTCATCTTCTAGATAGTTTGCCTTCCATACCGTACCAAACTGTCCCTGAGAAATAACTTCGACTAATTGAATGGGTCTAACACTAAGTTCTGGCGATGGAGGTATTGTGTGTAGCGGTTCTTCTTCACGACTGACACGAGTTGGAAATGTAGTTTTATGTCTATGGTACATAAAAAAGCCAAACACCAGAACAACAGCCAGTCCAAATATTGGCACCACTGAGTACAACAAGGTATGTATTGTCTTGTTTTTAGTTGTTGTCGGGGGATCTCTGGTTGTTGAACTGGTGCTAGTCACAGCTGCAGTAGATAAAATAAAAAAAAAACTTACTCAATAAAAATTAAATGAATAAAAATCAATCAATCCTCCTTATTAACAAATTTGCACATGCAGAAAAAATAGCAGTAAACTAGGACAATTCCGATATATTAAAATTCTAACTTGGCTCTGAAGCTTAGGGGAATAAAACAAAAGCAATCACATCCAGGATTAGGGATGAATAATTATTTCTTTTGTTTTAGTCCCCTAAGCCTTGGAGCCAAGTTAGAATTTTAATATATCGGAATTGGCCTATTGGACGATTATCAACTGTGAATAAAATGAGTCACACACATTTGTGCCAATACAAAGTTTTTCAGGTTCGCATCTCTGCATACATGTAGCTAAAATTGGTATAAATTTAGCATAGTCTACTGTGAATCCCTGAATTTGGTTGGCTTGATTAACTGTTTTCTATCTGCTGAAAGAAAACAGTTTTACACATCCTTTACTCCTTTACGAAAGCTTGGTCACCAGGTTTCAACATATTATGTTGTTGTCACAGGCAACTGGCTCCGTTTCCAGTGGCAACTTGTCGGGCTTTGATGTCATTAACAGCAAGCGCATGGAATTGTAGGCGGTGCACGGCTGTCGATATTGTTACCAATAGCCCATTGCAAAATCGTGAGAGGACTGGGATGAGTTTCTTATCTTGATTAGATTGAAAATCTAAACAGTTCAACTGAAATGCTACTGAATGAAAAGCTACCCAGTCAAGTTTGGGAGCCTTGCAAAAGTGGCAAAATTCTATACAAACCCTTACAATTTTGTGGCCTGTCAGTACCCAATCCATACAAACTCTATATTTTAGGTGATAATTGAAGAGCTATGATTTTGCCATTTTCCTGCTCTAAATACTTCTATTCTTGCTTAAGACTCTCAAATTTAGTCGATCTTTCATTTGAATATCTTAGTTTTTCAAACAAATGGAAAACAACCATACTCTTTCCTAGTCCTCTCACGTTTTTGCAATGGGCTATGGAAGCAATGTAAGTTGCCTGTGACAACACTTTAATCTTAAGGCTAAAACTTTGTCACCAAACTTCTGTCATGCTTTACTCAACTGAAAATCATAGTAAATGTGATTTTTTCACAACAAGCAACATTGCACTAGATTCTAGCGTAATGTTTGAGACCCTTTGAATTGCCTGAAGTAACACAATAAATCAATAATTTCTTTATGCAGAGACTATCAATGGTAAATTTATACTGAATTATTAAACTATTCTCCCCAGTTTCCTACATGCCATGGCCAACTCGGCTGCACCTCGATGACTACCTGCTCCTGGAAAACTTGGGCTTGTAGTCTAATAATTATTGTTAATAATTATTACCATGCGAAACCAAATAGGTACAAATGAAGACACCTTAGCGCCTTAGCTACAACAATCTCTGACATATTCTTGGACAACTTATTCTATTATCCATGACTTGATAATGGTAACATGACACTGCCAAAACACTGTCCAATTTAGATAAGAGTCCATCCATTTCCCTAGTACAATGGTTTAAACGAAATGAAATGAAATACAACAAACGTGGCCTGACTAATTACGCTCTACAATTTTACCACTATTTTTGCTTCTTTGTGCAAATACATGTAAATACAAGAGGTACTGTGGCCTCATGGTGAGTGCACTCGTCTCTAGATCGAGCCGTCCAGGTTTGAGCCCTGGCTGGGGACATTGTGTTCTTGGGCAAGACCCTTTACTCTCTAACAGTGCCTCTCTCCGCCCAGGTGTATAAATGGGTACCGGCGAATTTAATGCTGGGGGTAACCCTGCGATGATCATGGACTAGCACCTTATCCAGGGGGTATAGGAAAAACTCCTATTCACTTCATGCTACAGAAACTGGGATATGCTGCGGCCTGATGGGCTTCTTGGCTCATATGCAGACTTTTATACAAATCAATACATCTATTAAGTAGATAAATGAAGTCTAAGAAACACTTACCTGGATCACGAGTTGGTGCTGTGGCATCAATCGGAGACTCAGTGGTTGCCACACTCAACTCAAGATTACAAAAGCTTGCATTGCAACAGCAGAAAAATGCAGTCTTGTTTTTCTTGTTAACTTTCCTTCCCACACAAGATGATGTCTCACAGTCGTCATTTTGATCCCAACAGCCTGCGTTTGATACCACCACTCCATTGCTGTCATTAGTCCAGAATGCAAAACAGTATTTATGATGTACACCGCATGTTGCATTCACCGAATTACAAGCCTCTCCTCTTGTGGAGTTACACAGGCGACATACTTGAGGGGCGACTGATGAGCCACTAGTGGATAGTACTGAAAAAAACAAAAACAAAACAAAACAAAAACAGATGAGGCTTGAATTTGTGACAGTCTTACCAATAACTGTTAGTAATTACTACAGTCCTAACAGTAATTATGCATTTTTAATATTAGAGCAGTTTTAATTTGAGTGTTGAAAGTAATCAGTCAATTACTTTGGTTTTGGTTAAAAGTACAGTTTGAGATTGGCTTAATAGTCTAATTGCCAAGTAATTGGTTTGATTTTGATTTTACGACACTCATTTGAAAACCACTCTATTCATTGTAATTTATTTTATTTCTTATTTATGTCGTGACTAGACCTGTAAAGTAGCTCTATGTAGCTAAGAGTCAGTCACTTCAACAAAGTGTTACTCATTTACTTACTTACTTTATATTACAAAAAGAAAGAATCAATTGAAATGTAATCTGTTATAAATTTTTCAGTCCAGTATTCCAGTATATACATTTTCAGCTTGGGCGGTTTGTTTTGCCATCACAGACCACATGATATTCTCTCATGAAATTTGTTCTTTTATCCATCTAAAAATTATTCATTCACATACATGCCACTAATTGAAAAATTGAGAGCAGGACTTCTCAAGAGCATCATCACATGGTCTGAAATGGGGTAACAAACCACCCAAGCTAAAAAGGTCTACTGGAATTTAAAGATTTGTTTTCTTCTAATATTTATTATATTTATTTCATTTAAATAGAGCACTAACAAAAAGGAAAATAATGGTAAATAATGATACATGAAACAATGAAAAAAAAAACAAAAAAAAACCAGCACTACAAAATGTTATGTAATAGGCTTAAGAGAGCACAACACGTATTGCACAACATAAGCTACACATAAGACCTATCTGATTTATTTTATTTATTACGTACCGTTGTGAATTCTATTAATAGGTTACTGCTTGAAGAGTTTTTGTGACTGTTGAATTGCTCAAAAGTATCTGCAGTTTGTTTATTTCGGGGCTATTTATAACTTGGATCCATACGTCAGTAAAGCCATGTTCGAACAATGCAATGTTGCATCAGTTTACTGTCCATACAAGTATATCATTTTTCATATTCAGAAAAAATGAATAACATCCACAAAAATGTGCAGTAATATTAGCAATGGTAAGTTTAGTCCTTTCGAAGTATAATTAACAATAATCATTACAAGGAAAAGAACGTTAAATTTTGAGGAAAATAATGACTCGCGTATTTCTGTTATATGTTCAAAACACTACAAAGTTCCACGCTCAATACAGCGCTCACATTCCATCTAAAGCTATCTTTATATTGCTGAATGTTTTTTTACTCCACACCTTAGCTATTTAAAGGTGTGTACACAGAGCACTAAACAGGGGTCAGAAAACCTGCCCTTCTCAATCTTTCGCGTGAGCGATATCTTCTTAAAACATCATCGCATGTTTAGTTTAAACCGCAATAATAAGTATATAGCTGGGATTACCAATAACTATAGAGAAAGTTGACATGTGTAGAACTCCTGACGTGGTAGTGAAGACCTGTTTTTAGGAGTCGAAAACAGTACGATCGAAATTTAAAACCGTGGTAAAGTAGACTCCACATGTATGCGGACTAACACATGTATGCAACTGTAACTAAAAGGTTTTAGTTATTAAACATTGCGACTTGTGTCGAGGGAACAATCGGTCAACATTTTCCGTATCTAGCAAATTAAGACAAACTCTGAGGAACAACACGCGAACCTTGTAAAATCTCATGCAATGAAAGGCGCATTTCGTTTTATTCTTAAGTCAATATTGTTAACTGCTATAACTTACCGCTCCACCAACTTTAGAGAAAGTCACGTTTACCGGACAACTCGTTTAACAGGAAACCGAGCAATTGTTGTCGAAAAATCTAGCATAATGTACTTATTTACATGTGGTTTTATAAATGGTTGCTCAGCTTGTTGGTGGAAATAAACACGATATTAAAATAGAACCAAATTCATACGAGCAATTGTTTATGGAATCAACGCGAATTTTGAAAAACAAACAAAATCTACAATCACTTTTTATTAGAAATTGGTGCGATGGAACTAGACCAACCAAACTTTCATCACGTCTCGCAAAAGAATACAATTTATCTTTTAAAAGGCCGGACGTGATGTAAAACCACCGCTCACAACTTTTGTTTTCTGAATTCATTAACAGTGACCTTCGATTCGAATACACGGGGAATTACTATTTTACTAGTTGAAACTTGGGGCTTTAAAAAAGATACACAGACCTGTTAAATAGCTAAGTTAAGACGAGGATTTAACGAAAAATGAGACATAATCGGGTGCGATTGAAAACCATTAAAAACCTCGCAGGCTAGCGAATTTAATTGAAGTTTCCCTGTACATAGATGTCAAACACTCGTCACAACATTTAACCCCTAGTTTGGCCCGTACTTCAGAGAAACACATGTTTCTACATATTTAAAACTATTCAAAACTTTTGTAAATCATTCCTTAATTAAAAAGAAAAATTATTTAGCTGGGAAGAGGAAGACATGCATTCAATAAGAAGATCGTATCATTTGTGAAACATGTAAACAACTGGGAACTTGGTCATTTCCAAAGCGTGTCACGAAGGACTACACTCTAGTCAGTACACCAAAACAAAGCTTGTACGAGACTAAATTTTCCACTCCGAGAGTCCAAAACAGCAAACAGAACCCTGGAGGCGCATGTGTTTACCTTAACTGACGGCCAGTGAGTGTGTAGTTATGATCTACTAAGAACTGGGATAACATTTCAGAGATGTGTCCGTGTGGACAAAAAGGCATAGATTTCTGTTCGACCGCTCATATATCAGGGACGTTTAGCAAACTTAGCATTCCAAATCAGATTTAATCTGACAATGTAGGACTTAACGCAATCCCTTTAGAAACCCTCTTTACCTACCTAAGCAGCAAACAGCCAACGACGACACCAAAAACGCTACAAAATCGCCAACACTCATAGCTCCACATAACTCTCTCGGCCCGAAACTATCTTTTAGCGTGGAGAAACCAAAAACCCCGTATGCACTTCTTGTGGCGCTTTGATTGACAGCTTTAATCACGTGTTGCCATTAGCTGGTTTCTTATGCACATCATTGGTTATTCGCTTGTACAGCGTTAATTACGGAATACGGTTGAGTGACATTTGATTTAACTCTCACTACGAGATTGGTCAGATTGGGTAATAACAAACTGTTTGAGAAACGCCGACTATGGTTTCTCAAAAGGGCGCGTAAAAATTACGGTCGATAGATTTCGCTAGAGCCTAGCGATCACGCATTCTTTAACCACAGTAGCTCTTGCCTCAAATATCCCAAATTCGTCGTCAAACGACTACGGAAGCAATTATGCGATTCAGCTGTAAAGGGTAATACATTATTCTTCCTTTATTTACATTTGACCGAAATGGAAACGTGCTCTGTAAAATTTGGCGCGAGATCGATCCGGATTTTATCAATCAACAGAAATCTTGTTACGAAACGGAGTCATATAAAACTGTTTAATGAAAGAAGCCAGAAACTTAATTTACAATGTCATATTGTAAATTTTCGTTCTAATATTTTAACAGAAAAATTGCCTCGAGAATTTTAAAAGAGCGCTAAAAAATAAATGAATCGAGAGTGGAAATCATTCAGAAATTGTCAGCCGCATTTTGACTCTCCGTTCCAGGCTCCACCTGTTACTCAAGCAAGAACAAAAAGCCTGGAGCCAAGAGATATTCAAATGGCTCGTTACTTAGCAGGTCTTGTATTGGAACCAAAAAAATGATTGACTTCATAATGTGCAATGCTTATGGAACCCCTTGTTTATCTCCTCGATGTCTGGCACCTCTAAAATATCTAATGTGATGATTTCTGCTGTGTGGAAGACGTGCAAATTGTATTACCGCAACTCTGTTAATCTCTCTCTTTGCCTCAAGCGAAGAGCCGCAATCTAAAGCCGCAAACGGTATCTCAAGTCATACCGCAACCTACAGCGTGTCCTGCCCTGAGGCGAGAGATTTGCTTTGCAGGGGTTAGATTTTCGCGTGACTGGGTCTGCCGGAGTGAAGACACAGGCAATTTGGCAAAATAGGCTTTGAGTACAAGCCACGCCTAAATATATTTTCTCGAGCACTATGGCAACCGGGCACTAGTCTTGAGAACGTTAACTGATAGAACTCTTTCGTTATCAAATTAGGTTGCAAAATAGAATTAAAAAATTTCCTTGGCTTCCTTTCTTTGGCTTGGTAGAATTCAAAAATTTCCTTGGCTTATTCCAGGGAGTTTTCGACGAGAAACAGCTAGGGATCTCGGTGTGAAAGGCATTCGGCATTTCACGAAAAAGTTCTTTACTCACAGAGGCAGCTCCCTAGCAGTGATATATCGTGTGTCAGTTTCCCCTCACTTTCTCTTGGTATGTCTTGAAGCTATAAACTTGCAACTGACGAAGAAGTGGCAAAGGCAAAGAAATGTGAACTTAAAAGGAAAAAAAAATGACTGAAAGTGGTTCAAAATTGAAACAAAATGTTAATTCTGATTTCTTATCATCATGTTCTGACAAAATCATAAATTTGATGAATTGTAATCCACTTTCTTTTGGTATATGTAAGCCCGTACTTCTTCTCAAAGGCCGGGCTATTTTCGTTTTGCTATTTAGAATTTTTTTATCCAATTTATTTGTATATTTATTTGATGGGATTAGGCAATGTAATATGCGAAATAGGAGAGAGAACTTTCGATGATCAGACATCAAGGGTCCGTTTACACTTCAGGGTATTGCGTCAGTCTGTTGACGGCGTGCGGCGTTCATTCAATGCGAAGGCGTCGCCAGTAAAAAAAAAATTAAATTTTTTTTTTTATATAGATAGTCCAGCCGTTGTTTTCTAGGTTGCTCTTGTAAACACTGGGCTATTGATCGGCATGAGAGCCAGACTCGTTAGATGTCATATTCGCTTCATATAGTTCTATTGCAAGAAAAAATTGATTGCCGTAAACGCACTGTGCGGTCTCTAAGATTTTTTCAAATCCGGCTTTATTTGTGTCAAATATTTAATGACCGTAAATCATTTAATCTAGGGGCAATTAAGAGCCTAAGCCCTATTTACGTGCCGGCCTTCATGAAGTGGATTATAAAAAGTCTTTTATATAAAACATACATGCTCCCTAGCACGCACGTTGCTGACTGAGACGTCAAGCTGATGTGACGGATTCCGAACTATGAAGGGGATGTTACCGGAACCACTGGGTGGCGACTGCCTCGCAGGTCATGAGTTAATTTAAAAAAATGCAATTCAACAATAACTAAACCTTTCTTTGAAGAATTTGGTTCTTTACTAACAGGCTAACCAAACATTTCAAGCCACAGCGCTTATTTTTGAGTAGGCAAGAGAGTGTGATTCGTGCGGGACCAGACCGATGACGCTTGCCTGCCTCAATGTATTTTGCCGCGGTCAATCATTTCGGGTCACGTGGTCCGGGGCGAAAAGAGCGGCGTTCGTCTGGGATACGTCACCGAAATCAATCTGACCGCGAAGACCTAGGAGAAAGCCGCCGTACAGGAACTAGGCAACGATGACGTTATGTTTCTTTCGGAATTGTCATCTGCTAATACGTTGACACGCTAAATTTAATCAACACTTCGAAAAGTCGGAAATCATTTGTAAAATCCTCGGGTATAATTCTATTAGACGACTTATGGAAAGATATGACTGGATCACGCTACTACGTCTCCGACCGGAACTTACAGATTTGTTATTCGGTTAGGAAAGTCGTTTACAATATCTTTCTCGTGACCGTCTCTAGTCAGTGTGCATAAATATTTCTCACAGAGCAATTCATTAAGAAATTGGGCAACATTACATTTCAACTTCTTATTTCCTTTACAAACACTCACCCTTGTACAACGACCTCACTCGAAATGGTACCCAATTCTTCTCTAAAGGGCTTGCCAGTGGACCATCTCTAAAAGACATATGTTGGCGAACTACTTCTTCAGCTACCTGCTCTTAGAAATAAGCACTAGGCTGTAACCTGGTGTCTAGAAAATGAACCACTTTCTCCTCACAGCAGGTAATCGCGAGCAGAATGCTGCCCGAAGGGTCACCCAGCGTCACATAGATCAGGCTGTTAGGCTTCCATACCTCGTATAGAACGACCTGCAAGATTTGCTTGTTTCAAGATGAAAACCAGCTAAATGCATGCGCATTAGTACCAGATGACAGGACAAAGGAATGCCATCCGTCACTCATCCACGTGATACCATCTAGATCTAATCGCAATAGGCTTTAAGGTCCGGGCCACGTCTTTTTTGAACAAAAACGTTCTGACAGTGTTTCTGAAAGTTCCACCTCTCGTTTTGTATAAAAAAGCTGTCCTTTCGATGGTTCTGAGGGTAAATGACTATGAAATTCCAACTTTGTGGCTTTTACGTGTGGGAGCCTAGCTCAATAACGGTTTCCGAAAATGCGAAAAGAGAGAGTGTGACAGCTGTGATTAAGGCTGGCTCACCTATGGCAAGCTGTTTGTAGCAAAATTTAATCCTTGCGATATATGTTTAATCNCTCACCTTCTGATTTCTCCCGGAGGCCTCTGCGAACAAGATTGACGAAACGTTTTAAGTTTAGGCCTTGCGCATGAGCAAATTATTACAACACCCCCTTAACAGCTTCAGCGCACATGTATAGGTTTCCATCAGTGGAAATGTCTCTAGAGTTTTAACGTTTCGAAAACATACTCGTGAAAGTGGTCCCCTGTAAACATGGTAAAAACACCGATGTTCTGAAGTAACAGTGTCTTAATCTAGGTACAAATGAAAGTTAACTAATTGGAGAACATGAAATATAGTACAATCAAATTAAAAAAATTACTCATTGCTAACCATAAACCCTCCTGTACCCTAGCATTGGTTCGCCACATTAGTTACTCCACATAAAACGCAACTAAGTGCTTACAGTAATTAAGCCATGGCCATTGTTAACTTAGATTCCTATGCATGTATATCAGGTTAACGCCACTTAACACATTTTGCTCAGCCCCAGAGTTGATATTTCTAACCGGCGACTCTACCTCGTAACCTAACTCCACCTTAATTAGAGCTGGTTATTCTGAAGAGAAACTAGTTGTATAACTATCTCCCGTGGATGTAACTTAGTTATGAACAGGAATAGCCGGGGCGACAATGCAGGAAACCGGACACACTTATTAGCCAAACACACGATTTAAAGTGTATATGACACGAAAAATATTTTTTGCTTATTTGAAAGGCCCTTCAAAATACAGAAGAATGACGTTTTTCTTTTTGAAATATCTTTTTTCGTTTTAGAAATATTGACGTTTTTCTATTATGCAAATTAGATCAGTGATGACGTCATATTGTTTGCAACTAAAAATGGTAAAATACTGAATAAACGATATCTCTA